CCTTAGATCAGACCATCACTGACAAGCTCGCACAACTGATCCTCAGTCATAGTCGGAGCTGGCCAGATCTTCTGAGCAGCCCTCATGACCATGAATTCTTGATTTTCAATCACAGAAAGCGATGCCTCCTCGTCTACAAAGGTTGCCTGCGACTTGCTCACTGATTTCTTCCTACCCATATACTAGCGAAAGCAATAAAGCACTAAGAAACGATGATGCTCAGAAGGCGGCGCTCAGATGACGGCGACAATGGCGACGGCGGAGTTTTAAAGACTAGGGTTTCAAGGCAAAAGCAGGGCAGCAAAGAAAAAGAAGAAGAAAGGCCTTTAAATACATTTTACAGCAATAAAAACGCGGCCCACCAGGCCCGTTTAAACACGGCATGAACGCAACAATCCATTTCTCACCACAACTGACACAACTGAAATGACGGACGGCACACTTCTACACAAACAGTATAGTTCAACGGGTAGATTTTAGACTTATCCATCCAGCACCACGGCAGAATTATCATATTGCTACAAAAAGAACTCATCAACCATGAAGCAACGAAGGGTTACCTCACAAGGAACACAAGAACCCGGTTCTTATAGAAAGAACTCGAGAATCTCATAAACAACCAGGACATCAGCAGGAAAAAGAATGACAACTCAGAAGACAAGATTCTTTCCATTATAAATGGCTTCAAAAAATACAAGATTACACATCTTACAAGACCCAACAAACTCGGTACTACGACAAAGCAAGGTAGCAAAAAAGAACCCGGACACAACTAGGCTCTGGAACGACTACGTGTTCCAAATTGCTACTCGGTAGAACAAACCGCACTCGGCTACACTGTTTTCTTCAAAGGACGAACGCAGTACATCCAAGGCAGAAATCAGCAGCACAGCAGGACAACATGGACCAGGGGAGGCCTGCAGGCATCTGTCTACCCAAGCCCGACGTGATGCAGGATCAGGTGTTGATCTGCACCGGACAGTCGCAGGGCAGACGAGGAGGATCAACCCAAAACTTCCGGATGAAGGAACGTATCCCACATCACAAGACTTCCTCCAACTACCGCCACGTACTTCCTGGTACAATGCTGCTGTGAGATTAATTTACCTCTAATCCCTATCACAAGACTCCCTCCAGCTACGACAAGATATACAAGAACTACAAAATACGCCCGGGGGCTACTCTACTTCACAAACTATCATATTCATGACTACAGAGATTTCGGACCACGCAACAAAATGCTCGATGAATCAAAACAGGACACCAGGAAGGTATTTATAGACCAAAGAAGCGGTGCACATGGACCGGGAGCACCAACGGAACAAACCCAACAAAGGACACAGTGAAAAGATAGAATTCAATGAAAGAGGACTCAGGCGTGAAGGAATAGTACTCAAGAACGAGCATATTCGGAAGAATATACCAACACTGTACAACTCGTGAACAAACAGCATTTACACTCAACCACCACCATACAACTACGTCTGACAACAGCAGACTACTAGAGAATATGCCAAGATCCTGTATCCGAGTTCTTTTTGAATAAAAGAACCCAGATATATGCTCGGGGGCTACAACAGGAGAGGTTTTTAGTTCTTTGAACAACTCAGATTCAAGACCCTCCAACTCTTTGTTCCAAATAGCAAGAGGCTCGGGGGCAACACTCAGTGAGTGCACTTTTTCTTCAAAAAAGCGCACATCACTCAGAAGACTTCTTCAAGACAAACCACTTCAAAGCCTCACGATAAAAAGAACCCGGACCGAGCTATATCCGAGTTCTTTTTGATAAAAAACCCGGGTATATCCTCGGGAGCCTTTCGACGAAAAATCAGAGCAATTTCAACAACATAAGATTCAAGACCCTCTAGCTCCTTGTTCCAAATAGCAAGAGGCTCAGGGGCTACACTCAGTGAGTGCACTTTTTTCTTCGAAAAAGCGCACATCACCAAGAAGACTTCTTCAAGACAGACCACTTCAAGGCCTCACGATAAAAAAAACCCAGACCGAGCTATATTCGAGTTCTTTTTGGTAAAGAACCCGGGTATATGCTCGGGAGCCTTTCAACGAAGAATCAGAGCAATTTCAAGACAAGACCCTCCAACTCCTTATTCCAAATAGCAAGAGGCTCGGGGGCTACACCCATATGGGAGTACTTTTTCTTAAAAAAAGTACACGCCACCCGAAGATCTCACGAAGCGCTACACGGTTTCGCTCAAGAAAGCACTCGGACGACGCTTGATCCTACTCGGCAAGACCTGAAGGGACAAGACGAGGCTTCCAGAGCTCAACCATGAAGTGCTCGGGGCTTGTCGGTGCGGGACCCACGGGATACCCCGCAAGGAAGGGAGAAGATCTAGTCTAACTAGGATTCTTCCCATGTAATCTTAGTAGTATTATTATTCTGTAATCCTACTAGGAACTCTCATTGTAAACCGACCAGGACTCTGGCCTCCTGACTATATAAAGGAGGGCAGGGTTCCTAGAGACAACACTTACAATCAATCCAACGCAAAGGCTAACGCCGACTGGACATAGGGCTATTACTCGATCATGGTCGAGGGTCCGAACCAGGATAAATCGACTGTCTCTTGCGTTAACCGTCGAGTTCTGCATACGCTGAAGCCCGAACAAACTGCCCCGGGTACCCCCGTGGCAGGCTATTGGTTGTGAAACATCGACAGGTGCATGGAGGCATGCATAGAGGCAATGCACCAAAGTTGAGCTGGTTTAGCCACCTAAGGAGGTCGGCCGACTTCCCTATGGTAGGTGGCCATGCCACCACCTTCTAGAAGGTGTCCCCATGTGTTGTAGTGAAGGTTGGATACTTTGGTCACACTAGATGCTTCATTGTGGGCCCATGAATCCGTGGGCTCTTCCTTCTATCCAATAGGAGAAGAGAACCTCGAGATCCAAAGGTGGAGATTAACTCTAGAAGTGTTGGGAGGATCATGGGAGGCTTGAGAGAGGGCGACCTCATGATGGAGCCTCCAACCACCCAAAGTCCATGCTTTGTGTACCTACAAGCAAATAATCACATGTACATGTGGAACCAAGTTATTTGTATCTAAGTCACTATGTTCTTGCTTGTTAGCTCCTAGAAAGAGTGTTTTGTTGACGGTTTTGGTGATGTAAAAACAATACCTATGTAGGCCAAGTTTGAAAATGCAAATCTGGACACTAAAATTGATGTATACAAAGCTGAGATCATGGAGCCCTCTAGAGATCTATAGAATAATTGGCGTGGAGACTTGAATCGGCAATTTGTTAAGCCATCAAGAAATATGCAGCAAGCTATTAAGAATATGCCCTTGGTGTTCCAGCTGCTGTGGCTCCCTAGTGTGGCGAAGATGGAGGGCACGTACATGAGAGCGGTAGGGACCGGATGCTGTGGCGGATAGGCCAGGATGTGGAGCGGGATGGGCATGGTTGCGGGGATGGGATGCGGTCGTCCATGCTGCATGCCTCAGCTGCAGGCGCGGGAAGCTCTGTTCGGACGGACACTACCTCCGGAGCAGGTGGCGTGGCAAATCGTGTCCGGTGGAATGGTGTGACGTGCACCTCGACGTGACCATATCGTGTTCCGGTGGATCAGACTCGGCAATCAAAGTCTAAAAAAGGGCAGACCCAGTGCCGGAGGCTCCCACATGAGTGGGGAAGGGATAAACCGAAATAAGCCTTTCCCCCGCAAAATCTACAGAGATGCTACTTTGAACCCACGACCATGAGACTCAGCAATCAAAGTCTGTCCGGCCAAATCAGCTCCTGTCTTGACAACCTTACTCTCCTTGAGTATCGTGAGCTCTCTCAAAATAACTTTGCTGGCCCCTTGCCTCTCCTTGGCCGCCTGCAACATCTTCGATTCCTTTACTTGAAGTGAACAATTTGTCTGGGATAATTCCAGACGCACTTACTAATTGCTCCAACTTGATCACCTTAGATTTATATTCAAACTTGCTAGTGGGTTCAATCAGTTCGAAATTAGGCTTACTATCAAATCTAGAATTTCTCTTTTTGATTCAAATCAACTCGAGGGAAGAATTCCTGATGAGCTTGGCCAATTGATGAATTTAAAATACTTGAGCCTTGGTGACAATAGGCTTTCAGGTGAAATTCTACATGCCGTCTTTAGTCCACCTTCTCTGCAACAAATTTGGTTGGCTGAAAACGACAAATTCCACGGGGCATAGGGAATCTTAGTGCCTTAACTTTGTTGGATTTAGGTGAAAACAATTTTAGAGATACTATTGAAGGATTGATTGACAACCTAACTCAATTGGAGTTCCTCGACTTACATGGACATGAATTGGAGGGCCCAATACCATCTAGCTTGGGACATCTTCAGCGCCTTTACCATTTGGATCTGAACCATAACAATCTTCAAGGTTATATACCCTAGAACATTGAAAGCCTTCAACAACTCGTGCTGACCATATATAGCCACAACAATGTATACAAGGTAACATAAGTGGTACTACCTCTCAGGTCAACTAAATTGCAGCTTCAGACAATAATATTGACTTCCTTTTGTAGTTCATTATTCTTGTCTAAAACACATCTTTTACTGACTGGAGGGAAGTAACATAACTCTGGATAGCAAACTTAAACAGCTGAGTGACCTACAGTTTCATTTTATCAGACAAGCTTCATCTTTCACACAACAATCTCCAAGGATATATTAAATAAAAACCGTATCCCAGGTAGGATTCGAATTAGTTTGGTCTGAAACCAGAAACCCAAGTGGAGCAGACATGGACAACGACAGCGCGCATCAAAGACAAATGCTAGTGCAGGTGGAGCTAGCGAAGAAAAGAAAGGAGCACCAACGTGTTCGTTTCACCAGTCACGCTGAACTGAAGCAAAGAAAATTCGTGCGTCGCAAACGGACGCTGAAGCAGAGTGACAAAGGCAGCAGGTAGATCAAACGACTCCCGCAGTCCACGGCCGGTCCTCCACTTGCGGCGACCGCACGCTTTCCACAACCGCCGCCGCAAGCTCGCCAGATGGCACGGTCGGCGCACGACGAGGTGACCGACTCCGGGGCCTTCGACCCGTCGCCGTCCACCTTCCGGAGCTTCGTGTCCAGGGACAGATCCGCCCGGTTCCCCGCCGCGCCGGGGAGGTACCACCTCTACGTCTCCTACTCTTGCCCCTGGGCGTGCCGGTGCCTCGCCTACCTCAAGCTCAAGGGCCTCTACCACGTCATCGGATTCACGGTAAGAACTCACCAAAGCACGATCTATTCTTCGCAGCCCATCTTTGAGAGGATGAATAAAATCCATTGATTTCTTCTCTCTCTGTGTGTGTCTGTGAATTGTATTCTCTAGTCGGTCAAGCCCATCTTTGAGAGGACCAAGGAGACCGACGACCACATGGGTCATGGGGTGGGTGTTCCCTGCCGCCGGAGACGAGGAGCCCGGCGCCGAGCCCGACCCTCTCAACGGGGCCAAGAGCATCAGGGAGCTCTACGAGATCGCCAGCGCAAACTACGCCGGGAAACCAAGTGTCCCTGTGAGTGACTGTCAAAGACAGGAGTATTTCCTCCTCCCATTTCTTTCTTGTTCATTCAACAATTGGGTTGACCTGTCTGTTATTTCAGGTTCTGTGGGACAAGCGGCTCAAGACCATCGTCAACAACGAGAGCTCCGAGATCATCCGGATGCTCAACACAGAGTTCAACGAGTTCGCCGAGAATCCTGGCCTGGATCTGTACCCTGCTCATTTACAGTCCTCCATTGATGAGATCAATGAGTTGGTGTATGAGGCGATAAACATCGGCGTCTACAAATGTGGCTTTGCAAAGCAGCAGGGGCCATACGATGAGGTAAATCGATCGGTTCATGGTTTCTTGGAAATAAAATTGAGTGTATTTCCTATGTTTGACCAGCAGTTCTTTATTTTGTTCTGAATTTGTAGGCTGTCATCAAACTGTATGAGGCTCTGGACAAATGTGAGGATATTCTAAGCAGGCAACGCTTTCTATGCGGCAATCAACTTACAGAGGCAGATGTTCGCTTGTTTACAACTCTTATAAGATTTGATGAGGTATGGATTTCTTGATAGAAGAAAAAAAACTATGTAAAATCTAGCATTGATATTACATCTTGTTGAGTTCAGTTTGTAGGTGTAACCCAATGTATCTTCAGTAGTTGATGCTCCCTTAACCTACTTGAACAAGAGAAACGAAAAGTTATATGGGACGACTACTAGAGCGATTTAACATTCAGCGGAGTTTCTGATCTCACCCGGCTACTTTTTTGGCGTTACATCTTTCTTGTGATGCTGGTAGCTGTTAGCATAAATGTTCATCTGGTGTTCTCAACAAGAGTCAGAGCACCAAATGAGTGAGATGCAGTGTGTGAATAATTTGGTGTCAACCTTAAAGCAATGGCAAAAACCATATGCAACAATTGTCAGACCATATAATCACAAAAAAAAAAAAATTGTCAGACCATATAAAGGTGGACACATCACACATAAGCATACTGAATTTAAGGGGGCACTTTCTATGCAGATGAACAATACCTGGAGTTTGATATTATTATTTGAAGCTGGATCGTAATTTATTTTTGTTTTCATTTGAACTTGAAACGTTTGGTTCGTAATTTACAAATATTTCCTTTTGGCTTGTTTTCATTACAAGTTTTGATTAATTTTTCTCTACAGGTTTACTCTGTTTACTTCAAATGCAACAAGAAGCTTATAAGGGAATATCCAAATCTGTTCAATTACACCAAGGACATATACCAAATTTCTGGCATTAGCAGCACGGTTAACATGGAGCACATTCGGAAGAGCTACTATGGAGGTTATTCGCCCATAAATCCAAACGGGATTATCCCTGTGGGCCCAAACATCGATTATAATGCTCCGCATGATAGAGAGAAGTTCAAGGCTTAGAAGATTTCCTTTGGTGACTTATGTATATGTCATGTTTATTGTGGTAATATTTGGGATCTGTTCTTGTGCTTGGTCATTGCTAGTCTCCATGTGGTTGATGTGGCAACTGTGTGCTGATAATAATACTGGGACATGTATAGAAAGTTTCTTGTGCAATAAATAACTAAAAGTTTCTTGTGCAATAAATAACTAATTCTTGGTGCCAAGAGAATTTCACACTGCATACTCTTGTGTGTTGGGGCCATATATTTGTTCTCACTTATATTCATCTTTTTTTTGGAAAAACCAGCAAGAATTTGTTGTATCTATCTATATCTATATTAATAATAAAGAGGTAGAATTTTAGCTCATTTTTTTTGTCCACATCCCCTAACTAATTCCGTAAATGTGGAAGTTTGGTGTTTAGAGGCACTTGACGCAGAGTGTATAGGGCTTTATTTATTTTCCTATGGTCGTACTATTAAGGGCCAGGGGGTTGCCCATGACATGCAACTTGGTGGGAGTTCGAGTTGAGAGCATTTGGATATGCACAGGTGATACACTATCATGTCTCACAAAGTCAGAGCCTAAGTGACTCCACTAGATAGGTTTTAAGTTAAGGATCTCAAAGATGTTGAACTGGATGAGATTAAACTTAATGAGCTCAGAATATGCACCAATTAGTTGGGCCCATCCTGACAGATCATTCGGTGGCATTGTGCTTGGGACCGGTCCGTCTTTGGGTTGTAGTGTCTGACGCTGTTCACCAAGGGGCCACCATGACCTTGGCCGCCACCCAACTTTATATTTAGTTTGGTGAAGCAGTGGACATGCATGAGGTGGAGCAAGGATTCTCGCAGGGGCTGGACACGGAGGAAACTGCGACGTTGGTTAAGAGCCTCGTGGCGGCCGACGACGCCATCTTGGTGGAGGTGTACATGGTGGCGATCCTCCAGGCCTGCCATGACATGGCCGGGCAGGGGCGGCCAAAGGGGTGGGCCTATGTACCCCATGCCCCTGCAGTGAAGAAAGAAATAGTAGTAGCTGCCTATGGATGGGCGTTGTCCCCCAAAGACAGAAAACATTTGTTAAGTTTGTAAATAAGTCATGTGTTGCCTCCTTTCTTCTGTTTCTCATGTTTCTGATTGGTATTTTCTTTGATGTTTGAGAACTCTAGGCCCTCACAAGTCTTGCCTATAACCTCGTTGGCCAGGGAGGCGTTTGCTCGGTTGGTGGCCGAGGGTGCATGGACAAGGCAAGAGAAATTCTGGTCAGGAACAGAGGAACGGGCGTGCATTGGCTATTTTTGGTCGATTTGCATCGGGCGAAGGTAACCCATGGATACATGCTTAGGAATCCCCCGAGCGCTCTGCCATGCTTGGGTCGGTCGAGCGTGGCGGAGGGCTTAGAAGGAGTGTCACAGAAAAAATGGTTTCGGGGCAACAAGTTCACAACTTTTTATTGAATCAAAAATTTAAAAGGTACAGAACATAAATGAAATCTTGAGGGTTCGAGCGACATAGCTTTCATTCTGCCTTCGGGACGCCTTTTTGACACCACGAGTCGATGGTGGGCGATGGGGACGGCCTCGTGCCATCTCGTGCAGCGGTGATGGGGCGGCCATCGCGTGCGCCGATGACGGGTGTCCGTCTGCCGTCGCGTACGACAGTGATGGGGGCGGCCGCTGTCGTCGCCCACGATGGGGAAGGGCCTTTTGTTTTGCTTGACCGGGCTGACGTCCTTATCTAAACACAAGGGCCAAGTGATGGTAGCGAGTGGGAAATGAGCGAGCGAGGGGCACTTGGCGACTTTTTTCGCGCTAGGAAAATTTTCAAGAGGTCCGAGCTCATGTTTCGTTTCCTGTAAAATAGGCCATAGGAATGGAATCCTAAGGAATTGTTCCTTTACTTTCCCTGTGAACCAAAGAGCCACATAGGAAACAATCCTTAGGAAACTCAATCCTCCAAAATTCCTTTGGCAACCCTTCAATCCAAAGGACCCCCAAGCTTCTCCCTCTGCCCTAAGGGTCTACCAAGCAGGCCCAGAGCCCCCCACTTCGTGGGCTTTAGGGACTTCCTTGTCTTAACGCGTCACCGCCCAACTGTGACCCTACAGAGGGAGTGTTCGACAGTGCCTCACGGCTAACGAATAGGATGGCAGTGTAGTGCTTTTGCACAAGTTGGGCTTTGAGCACGGGACATATTCTCGAGTTGATTTCTAGCTTGGCCTGGAGCAAGTGTTCACCCTTAGCTAGAGTTGGCACAACTGCGTGTGGCTCGGCCGGGGCTCCCCTTGGGCCGAGAATCCCCGTGTCTTGGCCGAGCCCCTGAGCCTCGAGTGAAGATGTCCAGAGTGAGGGTTTTGCCTTTCTTGGCTCACCCTTCTGATATTGGGGACTCTCTCAGGAGAGGGATGTCTCCGGGCTGCTGAGTCAAACCTTGTTTACTAGAGGTGCATGCACATGCACCCAATGGGTGTAACACCCGAGCCCCCGGCTGATTGAGAGAGTGAGCTCGGGGGTTATTAGTCGGACTGTCGTGCCGTTAACACGGGGACTTAACATACCCCTATGTTAGACTCTCGTCACTAGTCCTAAAATGAACAACTAACCAACCGGGCTAAATTGCACTCCTAGTATTGAGTTCTGTCAAACGACCTTTTATTGTGGAATAGGCTCTCTTTAATTAGTTAAAATGATCATTACATTACTATGTGTCAGTGGATATATGGTCACATTTGTCCTTGGTCATTGATATCTCAATCCTTGATCTGAGCAATTGAAACATGTCGGTCTACAAGTATAAAATTATAGCATCACCAAGATATGGATACACATGACTAGATATTATTAATATTTTGGTTTAAAAAATAATTGTTTGACTAAATATAAAAGTTAGATGTACAATCAATTGAAACCAGGACAAAAAGATTTGTGGCAAGGCCTATAAATATCTAGCTTGTCCTTGACATCCACTCCATCGAAACGTCGTGGTTCAAACAATAACCTCTTGTGTAGTACTCAACCCTCCCACCTCATGGATCCCAACTTCAATAGTGTGTGGAGCACCTCCGAGATCAATATGGTGAAGTCACTCATCACTAGTCACATCACCAACAACACCTACACTAGCAGTGCCCATGACAACAATAACTTTGGGATGCCAATGGAGGCTCCACCCATGGACAACATGAACATGTTGCAAGGTTATCTAATGGATGAGATCGGGGCCACGAGGTGTGTAGAGGGACAACAACATATGTGAAATGTTGTTCCTAAGCAAAGGAGACAAGCAGTGAGGTTTTGGACTACAGACGAGCACAGGTATTTCATTTTTTGCACTGATTTGGAAACTTTTGTCGCATCTTGAGTGTTATTTTTAGTACAATTAATTAGCATGTGGTCTTTAGAAGTTCATACCTAGAGATTTTATTTTCACAAATCTTTAGAGTACGGATAGGACACCTATTCTTATCTAATTATTAATCTTACTATAGGAATTTCCTCCGTGGACTAGAAGTGTTTGGTCGTGGTAAATGGAAGAATATCTCCAAGTACTTCGTCCCCACAAGGACACCGGTGCAGATCTCTAGCCATGCGCAAAAGTATTTCCGTAGGCAGGAGTGCACCACGAAAAAACAACGCTTCAGCATCAATGATGTTGGCCTCTATGACACACAACCATGGGTGCAGAACAACCCTTCTAGCTGGGAGGCCCTCACCTTCACTGGCGGTGCTTACAACACAAACTACAATGGCTTTGATGGAAAACATGTTGCCTTTAACAGCCTTGCATGTGCCAGCCAGGCAAGTGTCAACCAGGTAGCTACATGGATTACGGACCAGCAGACAACAATAAGTTCTTTTGTAGCTCCAGTGACGGACGTGAATGGGAGCCAGATGACCAGTAATGGTCATCAACTGGGAGGCTTTCTTCACAATTAGTGGATGGACATGGACAATATTCACTAGTTTTTATCTATGGTTCAATATCCAATGATGCATGTAAAATCTAGTTGGTGAAAGACAATTTATGGTGTTAAGTGTCATTAGTACCATTTGATATGGGCTACTAATAGTTTCATTGCCAGAACAATGCAATGAAATACTATCAATGTGTTATTTCTATATCAATGTATCTGTTTGTATGTGTTAGTTATATTTTGTCTGTCTTATGTCCTTTGTTTGGTATATCATGAACATTACAATGATTGTATATAATTATGTATTGTCATTGTTGGTCATTTTCTTTTTATGAACATTACAATGATTGTATATAATTATGTATTGTCATTGTTGGTACTAAACCCACCAACTTCTTTTCAACTACTACATGCTCCTACTAGACTACACCCCACCCCTTAAGGGCTAACTCCATCATGTCCAAATGGTATATGCCTATTATAACGATTTCAACCTTGCAACCTCGCAAAACTTATTCTCAAATGTGCGAAATCTTAAACCAAATGTTTGCAAGAAATTTGACATGGACCTTTATAACAATCATAGATGAAGAAAAATCATAATGAGGTGCTAATAACATAATCAGGAATAAGAGTTTAGTGCACATGTTATTTAATACTCATTTACTCCAACCATTTATAAGGTATTGTTTTTGCTATGTCATTCTTATTCTAAAAGATATTCCATTTGGACCATTTTTGTTTTACTTTTAGATGATTTATTATCAATTTGGATAATGACAACATGATAAAAGTCAACAAGTGGAAGACGAGGAAGTACAAAGAGCGAACCTACCCAAACATTAGTAGTGACATAACAATCCACAATACTACATCAAATAATGTTCATACATCAATCGGACACTAAACCAAGTAACAAATACTTTTTAACTTTGACCAAAAATGAATTTGACTCTTCTTAGATGACTTAGAACATGGAGGTGCATCGATATTTGTTTTAGGTGCAAAGCAAAAAAAGTCACCATGTTCTTGAGATGCTAGCGAAAATTCAATGATGAAGAAGCAGCAACATGAATGGCATGAATGGAACAGAAAACAAA